GGCCTCCTTGACCCTGAGCCCAGAACTGGATGGTGCCTGGCTACCACTGCTGAACATGTTGACCAAAGCATCTACAGCGGGACCGTAGAACATAATTTCACGGATGCCAGACTTTCCGAGCCATGGAGACTGGCTAAACCCTTGAAGCTGTGGTTCTGAGGTTATCTTGAAAATGAAATCTGCTGCCAAGAATGATCTCCTGACGTTGTCACTGTCTTCTATTTTAATGATTCTTTAACTTTATATTGTGAACTGGATGAAGGTTTACAGAGCCATCCCTTCCCATTCAAACGCTCACCCACATGTTGTCTCATGTCCGGGGCACTCACTCCCGGCAGTGGCCCTCCCTCACGTCCTCCTGTGCTTCCTGTTTCCGTTCTCCTTCTTCCCCGACCCTTCCTGTCTCCTGAACTTGGTCCCTGGGCAGATGGTGCCTTTTTGATATCAAATAGTTGATTAATTATAATTAACCATCCTCTCTAGTGTTACTGCTCATCTTATAGACCTGCCTATTGTTGGGCTGAAAATTAAGCTTTTGGGGTAAGTTCAGGTGTAGGCCGGAAGGATGACTAAGGGTCATGGTCTTGGGGTGCCTAGCAGTCTGTTCTGATGAGTAAGCGTGGCATATATATATATATTTATATATATATATATATAGATAAATATAAATATAAATGATTTTGAGTTTGGGTCCATGTTTTGCTCTCATTCTCTCCAAAGTGGTTAGTTCTTGAAGTCTTCTTAGACCAAACAGTAGTTGAGCATAATTAGGAAGGAGGAACCCTGATGGTGTAGTGAGTGGTTCATCGCTGGGGCACAAGGTCAGCAGTTGGAAGCCACTGGGAGAAAGGTGAGGCTGGCTACTCCCATAAAGAGTTTCAGTCTCCTGTGTGAACTGCGGTGTAGGTATCAGAAGTTCAAAAGCAACCAACCAAATTGATGTGAACGGGTGTGGATGTAGTGGAGACCAAAACCCACCAGTGAGCTAATTGGACAGTCCCTCTCAGAAGGGCCACACGGAAGGATGATAAATCCAGGGTGCAGTACGGCACTGATGAACCACATAACTATCCTCTAGTTCGTTCATATTTCCTTCCCTCACTATTATGTTTTTTATTTGTTTTACCTCATTAATCATGTTAGACTTATGTATGTTCATTTAAGATCGTTTGATACACGGCAGCCAAGGCAGATAACCCTTCAGAAATAGTAAGAGGAGTAATGGTTCCCTGAGGGTACAGGACAAGGTGGGGGTGGTGAAGGGCGGGGGTAGGGAGCTGATAACATTGATGACTGCACAACCGGCCCGAGGGCAGTGGACAGCAGAGCTGTATGTGAATGGACATGTTGCACAGTATGAGATATGGCAAAAAAATCAATAATAATAATAGAAGTTCCTGGGGGACAGGGTTGGGGGGGGGATAGAGGAAAGGCGTTTAAGAAGAAAGAAAATGTTTTGAAACTGATTGTGGTAGCAATTGTACAGTAGGCTTGATGCGATTGAACTGTGGAATGTTATGGTATCTGTAAGAGATACTGGGAGGGTGGAGGGAGGGTGGGGTGGAAAGGGGGAATGAATTACAAGGATCTACGTATGACCTCCTTCCTGGGGGACAGACAACAGAAAAGTGGGTGAAGGAAGACGTCGTCGTCGGACAGTATAAGTTATGACAAAATAATAATTTGTAAATTATCAAGGGTTCATGAGGAAGGGGAGAGCGGGGAGGGAGGGGAAAAATGAGGAGCTGATGCCAGGGGCTTGGGTGGAGAGCAAATGTTTTGAGAATGATGAGAGCAATGAATGTACAAATGTGCTTTGCACAATGGATGGATGTATGGATTGTGATAAGAGTTGTATGAGCCCCTACTAAAATGATTACAAACGTAAATAAAAATAAATGACTTTAGTTGTTTGGAGAAAAAAAGAAAGAGTTGCCGTCTTGGAAACCCAGGGGGCAGTTCTAGTGTGTGGGGTCGCTGTGAGCTGGAACTGAGTTCATGTCGGAGAGATTGAGTTCAGTCAACAAGAAGTCCCCGTGGGTTAGGTGTTGGGCTGTTAACACCAGGTCAGTAGTTTGAACCCTGCAGCCAGGCCCTGGGAGAGAGCTGAGGCTTTCTGCGCTTGTGCAGATTTGCAGCCTCACACGCTCACAGGTCAGTTCTGCTCTGCCCTGTGGGGTTGCTGTGAGCCCACAGCGACTCCGTGATAGTGAGCTTTCGGGTTGGAGTCAAGAAGGTTCTTCAGCCTCGTGCTTTGACAAGAGCTATCTGTGTGGGATCCAACCGACAGTAGCAACTCCCTAAAGATCAGCTCGGGCCCGAAATGGGAAAGAACAGCTTGAAAGAACGGAGGCACTGTCTCTGAATTGTCCACGGAGAAACTGTTACGCTTGCGTCTCTTCTGCTGGGTATATTTTGGGAAACAACCACAAAATAAACTCTTAAAAAGTAAAACAGACTCGGCTCAGTACGGATCTAAGCCATCACGGGCCCATCCCTGCTTTGCGTGTTGCCAGCATTGCCCAGTTCGGGGAGGACTGGGTATGCCGACTGGCCGAGCAATTGACCAGACACCCACCTTCTCACTCATTTAGGAAAATCCCGGAGGAAGAAGGATTTGTGGATATCCTGTATGTCCAAGCCCCCCGTGCCCAACCCCACGTGAGTCGATTTCTGCTTCTCCTCTGGGTTCAGTCAGAGAAGCCTCCTGAGGGGGGCGTACCTCCGCCTCTGATACCTATCCTGTGTGGCACCAGCCACGGCCCTCCTGACTGCGGGCTCGTGAGTGGCACTCTCCCACTGCTCAGTCCCCTCCTAGGAGGAGGGTTGAGGCCCTGTGCGGGTGCCTGGGTGGGCTTCAGCCACGTGGGAACCACTCTGGTTTTATGGCCCCACGGAGGCAGTTCATGCTCAAAACTGCTGAAAGGAGGGGATTTTAGGAGCGAGACACCCCCACCTCCCTCAAGCCTTGGGAAAAGCTTTGGCCTTCTCCAGGCATGCGTGCGCCTTCTCTCGGGGTGTGTGTGGTTTTCTGACCTCACGGGGTTTGCTTCCTCCCAACAGGCCCCCCCGGAACCTTGATTCCCGGACCTTCATCACCATAGGAGACCGGGTAAGTGCTGGCAGCATCCTCTGGCAGGCCCCGCCCTTCCCTGAACCTGGATGTCTCCATCTGACAAGTCTGTAGGGCCACTGGGTGGGGATTATGGCTGGGGTAGTGCCAAGGTCAACGTCTCTGGCTCTTCCATGCCACGGGAGCAGCCTACTTGCTTCCTGCTACCGTTGTGAGCTCAGGGTTTCTGCTGGCCTTTCCTGCCCGAGTTCTCAGAGGGGTGTCCACAGGGTCACCTGTCTGCACCATGTCTTCTGTGAAGACTGTAAAGTTTGCAGACTGCTGGGCCCCAGCCAGACCTGCAGGATTAGCGATCTATTGATCTATGTCCTTATTTATTTTTCCAGCAAATAGACGAGTTTTTAAGAGCGGTTTTAAGTTCCCCCATAGCCTTGCTCCCGGCTGCATACAGTTTCCTGTATGAACATCTTAACATTCTTTCATCTGGCATCATGGCTGAACCAGGCTTGTGGCAACAGGACCCCCGCACAGTCCAGAGTTTACACCAGGGTTCACTCTGTGTCTTGTACGGGCCTAGGGGTTGGGGCCCATGCACCAGCTCAGGTGCCCACCATTGTAGTTTGCAGAGTCGTTTCCCTACCCCCCTGGTGCTCTTTGCTCCACCTGTCCCTTCCTCCTCTCCTAAGCAAGTGCCTGGGGACCACTTACCTTTGTACTGTCTCTGTAACCAGTTGCCGTCCGGTCAGTGCTGACTCAGGGTCACCCCACGGGTTGCCAGAGCAGCATTGTGCTGCCCAGGGTTTTCTCTTGTTATTGAGGTGGCAATGTACCCAAGAAAGCACACCTCCTCTCAACAATTTGTACGTGTGTAGTTCGGTGGCATGAATTGCCTTCTTCAAATTATACAACCATGCTCTCACTCTCTTCTTCAAATGACTTGCTCCTTAGTCGAAACGCCATGTCTCCCAAGCAACTCCTCACCCCCACTCCACTGTTGTAGGCCCTTCTGTGTATCACAACTCCAAGCCCTGCTCAGCCCTGCCCCACCCTCACCGCTCGTCCTATGTTTGAGCCCATTGTTGCAGCCACTGCTTCAGTCCATCGTGTCCAGGGCCTTCCTCTTTGTCGCTGACCCATCATTTTACCAAGCGTGATGTCCTGCTCCCGGGACGGACCCCTCCTATTAATGTGTCGAAAGCCTGTAAGGTGGAATCTTGACTATTCTCTACTCTCTTCTAAGGAGCATTCTGGCTCTCCTTCTTCCAAGGCAGGTAGGTTTGTTCTTCTGGCCGCCCGTCCGTAGCATATTCAATAGCCTTGACTCATACCATAGCTCAGATGCTTCGATTCTTGTGGTCTTCCGTATGCATTGTCCAACTTTCATAGGGTGCAGCTAAGAGGCTATGGCTTGAGCCAGCTGTACCTTAGTCCTCAACACGACATCTTTGCTTTTTTTTCGAAGCAGCAGATTTGCCTAGTGCAGTATGTCGTTTGATTTTTTTTTTTTTTGTCATTTGATTTCTTGACTGCTGCTTCGACTAGTAGTGATTGTAGAGCCAATGAAAATGACATCTTTGACAGCTTTACCCCTCTTCTCCTTTATCATACTGTTGTCTTTTGGCCCACTTGTAAGGATTTTTCTTTTCTTTATATTGAGCTGGAACTCATTCTGAAGGCTCTGGTTATTAAATATGAATCAGTTAAGTGCTTCAAGTCCTCTTCACTTTCAGCAAGCAAAGCGATGTCAGATGCATACCGCAGATGGTTAATGAGCCTTCCTCCAATCCTGATCCTGCTTTCTTCATGAAGCCTAGCTTCCTGGATTATTTGCTCAACACACAGAGTGAATGAGTATAGGGAAGGGGCACAACCCCGCTGCCCTCTTTTCCTAATTTTAAATCACTCAGCGTTTCCTTGTTCTGCTGTCACGACTGCTGCTTGACTGATGTACAGATAAGTGTTGTGGAATTCCTATTCTTTGTTTTCCATTGTTTGTTATGCTCCACACCGTCGAATGCTTTTGCATAGTCAATAAAACGCAAGTAAACATCTTCCTGGTAATCTCTGCTTTCCATCACCTGCTACCAGCAATGAATTTGTTCGTTCTTTGTCTGCATTTGAGTCTGGCTTGAATTTCTGGCAGCCCCCTGTCCATGAATTGCTGCAACTATTTTTTAATGATCTTCAGCAACATTTTACTTTCATGTGATATTCATGATATTGGTTGATTGTTTCTGCACTTGAGTGGGTCACCTTTCTTCGGAATGGCCACAAATATGGATCTCTTCCATTCGCCTGACCAGGTGTGCCTTCAGTGCAGCTCGAACATCTTTCTTCAGGACCATCTGCCCTGGATCACAGGCTACTTCTTGCAATGGTGGCATGCCAGCTCGTTCTCTTTAGTACAGGGACTCTGTGTATTCCTTCCACCTTCTTTTGATGCTTGAAAAGCACATCCAAATTTCTAACTCTAGCTGGTTTTCTAACTTTAGATCTCTGCACATTTTATTAGACTACTTAACTATGCTGTCCTTTGAACAATTCGTTTAACTTTTCATCATTTCTTTCATTTGCTTTAGTTTCTATGTTCAGGAGCGATTTTCAGAGTCTCTTCTGAAATCCGTTTTGCCTTTTTCTTTCCTGTCTTTTAAATGACCTTTTGCTTTTTTCATGTCTGATAGTCTTTTTTTTTTAATTTATCATTATTATTTTTTAAATTTTTTACATGTCTGATCGTCTTGATGTCGTCTCACAACTCCACTGGTCATGTGTCAAGTCTATTTTTGAAATAGTTTCTAAATTCAGGTTGGATGTGCACAGAGTCATATTGTGGCTCTTGTTGACTTACATTAATTTTCACCAGCTTCAGCCTGAACTTGCATGTGAGACATTGGTGGTCTCTTCCGCAGTGGGCCCCTGGCCGTGTTCTGACTGGGATGCTGAGTTTCTCCCTGTCCCTCTCCACAGATGTGGTTCTGTGTGTCCCAGCTGGTGAGGCCCATGTGCTTAACCATCATTGCTATGATTGGGAAAAGGTCTTTGCAATGAAGAAGTCATTGATCTTGTAAAATTTTATTGTGAGATTTCCAGTGCCCTTTCTGTCACCAAGTCCATGTTTTCCAGCTACTGAGCCCTCCTCTTTGTTTCCTCCAACTTTTGCGTTTCAGTCTCCAGAGATTGTTAATGCAAATTGATTACATGTCTAATCCATTTCAGACTGAATGATTGAGGAAGTCAGTAGAATTCTTCAGTTTCTTCGTCTTGGACTGTAGTAGTTGGTGCGTACATGGGAATCGCATTATTACCGTATAACTGACATACTGGTGGCATAGCTTCCAGGATCACAGCAACATGCAAGCCTCCACTGTACAACAAACTGATGGCACGTAGGTGGCACCTCCTCACCCCCATTGCATGAGGGGTTACTGAGTCAGTTCTGACTCATAGCGACCCTGCGTGCAACAGAGCGACCCCCCCTCCCGCCAGCTCCTGTGCCATCCTGCCAG